AAGGGTTGCCCTCGATGAGTTGCGACGTGTTCAGTTCTTGGGAGGCCACAGGAGGCTTCGGTGTGACGTTGGTGTTGTGGCAGCAGCTGGTTGGGGAACATGGAGCAATTGGAGGTGGCGTCAAAATCACCCTAGGGTTAGTGAACCCTAGGGTTTATACTTGATTCATTCTGGACCGTTGGATCTCTCCAGATCCAACGATTGAGATCGTTGGTGGCTGGAAGCTAAGATGATGAAACCCTAACTATTTTGGGCCTTCTCAAGTTTAGGACTTCTTGAGTTTGGGTCTAGATCGGGTCTGCTGTTGAACTGGGTCTGGTTTGTAAATAACTTTCTGGGTATGCTGTTGGGCTTCAGTTTGTAAATGGGACTGTAATATATTTTTTATTTAATAATAATAATAATAATATATATAATAATTAATAATAATAATAAAAATAATAAAAAATAATGGACAAAAAACTAGTGTCTACATTATGCATATGTCTAGTTTTGAAAAATGTTTTTTTAGTGTTGATTGAGAAATTATTTTAATAAAATTTTATGGTTAATATTATAAAATGATGTGAGATTTTCATTAATTATTCGACTAACCTATGGAAGACCTCCAGAAATCTAGAGTGCCCTTCTGAGAGTTATTCGAATAAAAAATATATTTTATCATTTATTATTTATTTGTCATGTTGTGTGGTTATTTCATCTGTTTTGCACATTACAATTACTATTGTTGCATTCCTGGTCACGCATTTGATTACTCGTTTCCCACAAGATTATAATGTAATATTGTCTTGCATCATGAGTTAACGAAAGTACGTCCAACATAACTGGATTTTAATTTCTGTTAATTCACATACTAAGTGGACATCTTTTTTAAATAAAATCGAGTGAATTAAATATTTCATCGAGACAAATATTTTAAAAATGAATTCACTCAATCTAAAAAATCATAGAAATGAGAAGGATAGCAATTTAAATTTCGAGTTCAAATTTGTAAAATTTCATCATTTCTGACAACAAATAATCGAGAGGTACCAATCATGGGCGTTGCGGGCTTGCTTATGCTTCCCCACGTCTAACCGAATCCTTAAAAATGAATTTCTGGTTTAATGCAAACCAATTTTCGTCTTTAAATGACTTTTCTTAAATTCGTTTAAAAGACGTTTTCTTGACATTCGGCCTACCTAACCAAAAGATCGATGACGACTCCAGTATTTTCTGAACTAATTGAATTCTTAAAATCGATATTTCTCAAAAATGTGCCGTACATCTATTTTTCCACGTCCCGTGTGAAAAAATGGTGACGACAGATACGGAGAAAGCAATATATATCAGATGATTCTGGCCATCAGCAGAAGTACCAATGAAGAGAATATCATATTTGTATATATTCTCCATATCATAAATAGGTCAGTTCAACTTCCATTACAGAAACGAACAGAAGTGACATTCGATCCCATTCTATCCTAACTAGCAAAGCCCTAGCTAGGCCAACAACCTATTCTATAGTAAGAGAATCAAACAAGTCAGGGAAACGAAAAGCATATCATATCAATAAGATTCCTTTTTATAATTAATTATTACTTTTCAAGATTAATTATAATTGATTGTTGTTGGAACTTGTTACGGGGTCTCTTGATTGTTAGATCGAAACTCTCAACAATTAAAAATGTATTATATTTTTTAGGGTGTTTATTTGCTGTTTTAGTTATGAAAATTTGTCTCCCCATCCTTAAAAGGATCCTGAGAATGTCCTGAAAAGGGAGGATATGATTCTTAGATCATTCGGTTTACCCTCGACTTACCTTTGTGTGGCTCACCTCTGGTTGTTGTGGAGTGGAGTTATAATAGGTACACCACAACTTAATTCTATGTGGCTTTTTGCCCCACGTAAACTAGGGATGAACCACACGACGATAAGCTGAATGATCTAAGAGTATTTTTTTTCATTTTTGAAGGATCTCCTGATTGTTTAGTCAAAATCTCCGATGACTAGAAATATATTGTTTTTTTGGTGGTAAATGTGTGCAATTTAGTCTTATAATTTTTAATCTTGACCCTTAAGAGGATATCAGAAGTGTCTTGAGAGAGAGAACACAATCATTAGATCATTTGATATATCATCATGTGGTTCACCCCTGGTTGGCATAGGCCATGGGGCAAAGAGCCATTGAGAATTAATGGACAATTGCATCGTTGGGGGGAAATGATCTCAAATCTTAAGGAGAGCTTAAATAACTTTGTAGATATAAAAGGTAATTTATATTAGTTGGTAATCTAAATATGTTTATAATCCCTATAGTTATCTTTAATAAATAATTCATAAAGATTATTACATTGTTTAAAGTTCAAATGAGGTGATAATTTATCTTGACTATCGAATCATATCGACTCTCGAATTGAGACATAGATGTGTTGGTTTGTAAAGATAACATATTAGACTGGACCCAAGATGAATTAAGATTTTAAATTTATTTAAAGATAAAATTCACTTGTGATGTTCAACATATATGTATCTTAGTCCTAAGCAAATGTAAGATTGTGTGTGTGATTTGCATACTTTGATATATCAATATCAGATGAGTCTTAGAGTAACAAGGCGATGAGTGATATGTAAGGTATGCGACTCATACATGATGTAGATTCATTTATAGAATTGAGCTATAGCTCAGTTAAAGATTAAATAAATTTACTTTCATTGATATTTTATGGTATGTAAAAATGAAATGTGATCCCGAGTCATTCAGCAAGGATAAATGAATTAATTATTATTTTCTGTAATATGCATTTTTACCTTATGATTTACAATGAAACATTAACATAAAATGATCAAACTATATGAACAAATAAAATCCAAAAGGATCACGTATATCATATGAGGTAATATATTGCTTACAATGTCTTGGACAAAAAGGTACAAGGTATGCTTTCATTCATATATGTTTGGAGTTCAAAATTGGTAATATAGGGGAACAAGTCATTGACGTAAATAATAAAAATATAAACAAATGAAAAAAAGTTTAGAATTAATTACACATTATTCTAACTCACATCATTTAAGTTCAAATGGTTCCTTAACTGGCTTAAATTATCTCGTTAACTACGTGGCCTAGGGCAAGAAGTAGTTGGAAGTTGGCTTGAGAAAGGCTTTTGATTCTATAAGCTGGAGCTTTCTGTTGTAGGTATTTCATGTTCTATGATTTCCTATGGTTTTTATTGATTGGGTTCAGAACTGCATAACTAAGTGCAGGATTTCAGTTGTAATAAATGTCAGATTTATTGGTTGCTTTCCTAGGGGAAAAGGGGTAAGGTAATGACCATTTTCCCTATTTCTTCATCATAATCATGAAATTCTTGTCTTGCCTTCTCAACAAAGTTGGTCTTCACAAGGTATTTGAATTTGTACCCAACAAGTTGTCAGGATTGCAAATGAATCCTGGTAAGAGTGAATTGTTTAGTTTAGGGGTTTTTTTTTTCTTTTTTCCAGGAAGAATTAAATTGTATTATTGAGGCAAAAGGGTAACTTTTGCCCATGTAATAGACATAATTTATCATTTTCGCTCCTATTGTATTTTCACATCAATTTAGTCCTTGAAGTTGTTCAATTGCATCATTATATACCTTACTCCTAACTTAAAATCCTAAATTGAGAGTTTTAAGTTAAGGTTAAAGGTTTAGGGTTTAGGGTTATCAATTTAGATTTTAAGTTAGGGGTAGAGAATATAATTATGCAATTAAACAACTTTGAAGTCTAAATTAATGGGAAAATACGATATAGATGAAAATGATAAATTTGATCTACTACAGAGACAAAAGTGATCCTTAAGCTACCTATTATCGAGTAAATTGGGATCACTTTGGAGAGACTACCAATCAGATATTTGAGAGTGCATTAGGTTACAAAGAATTTAAGGGAGATTGATTGTAATGTTTTTATTGAGAATATCAGAAAAATGATTCGAAGCTAGGTTGCTAGATCACTTTCTTTCTCAAGTAAATTGCAACTTTTGTATTCTTTTATTTTTAGTATGACTCAAATACTAATTACTAATTAAGTTAAATTTTATTATAATTCTAGTAGTAGAAGATTATTTGATAATTTAGTTTGTTTAATAAGTAAATATTTACTTTAGACAAAAAATATTTTGGAATTAGGTTTCTTAGTGATCAAGTATTTTGACTATGAGAAATAATTATTTTTGAGAGATTTAATTCTTTTATAGTCTCTGTAACTTTTGGAGTTTACATTGTAAAGATGGATATTATAGGAATGTTGGGAGAATATTTTGGGATACACCAAGTTTTGATATAAATAACGAATTTTAGGATACATAAGATATTATGTATTTGTATTCGTGGTGGAGTTTACATTGTAGAGATGGATAATATAGGAATGTTGGGAGAGTGTTTTGGGATACACCGAGTTTTGATATAGATAATGGATTTTAGGATACATAAGATATTATGTATTTGTATTCATGGTGGAGTTTACATCATAGGATACATAAGATATTATGTATTTGGATTTTAGGATTTTGGGAGAGTATTATAGATTTTAGGATACATAAGATAATATAGATGATGTGATTATTTTGATTGTAGAATTATTAAAGAAAGAACTCCATTAAACTCAATGATTAGAAATGATTTTTAGGGCCGACAACTTATCAATAAAATTTTATAATGCAAAATCATATCTTTTGTTACACTTGAGTCAGAGACCACTACCCAGCTTTGTCAGTGGATGTAACATAGGAATTCAAATCCCTCTTGAGAAAATAGGGAAAAAATCTCGTAGTTCTGCAACGACACCGTTTAATTTAAAGTTAATTTAAGATGATATCAGTTTAAAATATTATCATGTTTAACTTAAAAATTTATATAAATTTATAATATTTTCGGTTGGAACTAAAAATTTACATTGTGAAATTTAGGACTTACAACCGAAAATATTATAGGATGCACTCTCGATAAAAGTTTTGGTTGCAACAGTTTTTTAACTTTATATTAACAAGTTGTAATTTACAATTTCCTGAAAAATCTAAACCACAAATGGATCCCTTTTCTCTTGTTGCAGAGTCTTATCAATTATGATGGCCTGATGATCAAAAGTGTCATTTTCATTGTTAGTAGCATTATCTAATTTAGCTGCCTCTGTTTGCTGCTCCACTAATGGCTGCTGAGACTTGTATTCCTTGCTTTTACCCCATAGCACAAAATATAGTCCCACAATTATGATAATAGCACCAATCACCCTTCCAAGAAACAATTTTTCTGCCAGAATTAAAGATGACATTATGGCTACAATCACCAGACATAGTGGACCAAAAGCTGTAAGGAAAACCGGTCCTCTGTCGTTTATTACCACACCTTGAATGTAATAAGCAAGTCCTGAACTTACAATTCCCTGCAGCAACCATGGATATATAGATTTAAGAGCTCGAGTAAGTGAAACGGATGTATTGGCTAATCGTTGGTAAAAATAAAAAAATTCTTACAGTGTATGCAACTGTAAGTAACTTGGTGTCCCATTTAAGAGCCCAAATGGCAGCATTTCCCTTTTCCATTATCAAAGCGGCTACGGTGCCTTCAAGTGTTCCCATCAGACATATCCAAACCGTCAGAGAAAGCTCGGCCGGATATGTTTTCAACGTGATGGCCTATAAAAAACCCGGCAAGTCGATGTCATGTTTCCAACAAATCCATTTCGAATAATTTTTGTGTTTTCCTTACTTGCATAATCACGAAACAAACGAAGCTGAAGCAACCGGCGGTGATCATCAGACCCCCTTTGATTGTGTCATGGAAATCCGTATCGTTTTCGTGGCTATTAATACGCGCTTTGGTTGAAAACAACTCGAGCACCGGTCCTTTCATCAGTACCATCACCATGGCTCCTGCAACGGTCGCGAGTGTACCGATAATCTTAGCATGGCTGCGGATTGATCTCAAGTTCACCTTCTCAAGCCTGCATAGATATTTTACACACACAAAAATGGATCTCTCCATATTTATTGCTTAAGATTATAGCTTCTCTTCTTTTTCAGAGAGTTTTACCTTAAAATCCAAGCCATTAAGAAGGTGATGGCCGGAATAATGTTATACATAGCAGCTACAAACGTTGCAGTTGTGTACTTCATCCCCACATAATACAAGTTTTGTTCAAGGACTGCCCTGCCAAAGTATATATACAAACATTTGTTACATGATAATTGTATGTTATTAAAACAAAAACTCGTAATTCGATTCAAATAATTACTCCAATAAGCCAAGCACCATTATTTTGATTAAGATTGACATTGTCATCTTAGGCCTCACTTTCCTATCAAACAAACAAAGAGAAGTTCAAATTTTTCTATCAAACATTAGCTTAAAGACATATATAGAGAGACGTATATATACTTTTCGAGAATGGCTGCGAAAGGAGCCATAAGGAGGGTGGCGATGGCGTGACGGTAGACGACGACTGCGTAATTGTTCATGCCTTGGTTCAATGCAGCCTTGGATAAGACATCGTTCCCTGCAAAACTAACTTGCAGGAAAATTACAGCAAAAAATGGCTTGAACTTACCTAAAGAATCCACTTGGTTCTGCATGTGTGTGTATGTATTTTTGTTTATCTTATGCATGCACACTTGATTTAGTTCTCGAACTTATAGGACATGAAAATGGTGTGTTGCAATCACGAGGGATTTGTGGTACACTCGGCCTTATTCGTCCAAAAACAAACAAAAATCAAGCTGTCGCCATCCCTAGGGTAGTCATGAGATGAAGAAATGGGTAAGTTGCTGCGAGTATTTTAAAATATAACGTAATGGCTGATGAATGGAATGATGGGTGGAAAACACTAATGTATTAGTTATGCCTTCAATGATTTTGGGTGGACTCAATGAACGACAGGAGTTAAATGCAAGTCTAATAATTAGTTTATAATTGAATATGAGTGTGGAAACACTTTGAATCCTTGAAACAAATCTAATAACTAGTTTATAATTGAATACATTTTATATATATTTAAGGGTAAACTACACTTTTAGTACCCAACTATCACTTTTGTTCTGATTTGATCACTCAACTATTTTTTGTTTCAAAATTATACCTAACGTTACGTGTTGGTTTCATTTTGGTCACCGACCATTAAAAAAGTAACGGTGATGTTGACGTGTCACCATAAGATAATTTCACGACTTCGTTAAAAAATTAAAAATGTAACGTCAACAATTCTATTAATTTTTTAACGACGGGTGACCAAAATGAAAACAAAACTTATCGTGAGGTATGATGTTGAGAAAAAAATAATAGTTGGGTGACTAAAATAGAATAAAAGTGATAGTTAAGGTATTAAAGATAGTTTGCCCAATTTTTAAACTTCAATTAATTAATTAATGCAAGATTTAAGATAAAAATGAATTTAAAATTTTATATTTTTAAACTAAATTTAATATTTTCTTTAGCACATTTATTCTTATAACTCTATATATATTGATTAAGTTGAAGGTGATTACAAAGTATTATATGTTCTAAATACTTCCAATCATTTGATAATGAACTTTCAATCACCCTTACAATCGCTGGTGCTCGAACCAGTTACCTCTAGGAACAACAACGATTTTGTTAATCACTAAGATAAGTTGGTTCGTACTTATAATCCTATATATATATATATATAATCATTAAATTGAGTCTTTTTTTAACTTAATTAATAATTTTAATTTTTTATTAAAAATAAAATGTAACATATATTAATATTTTGATTTTTTTTACTGGATTGTGTGGTCCGAAATATTTAATTTAATTTATAATTATTATATTTTGACCTAGATTATAATTAATAATTAAGTTAAATTTTATTATAATACTAGTGGTCGAAGAATATTTAGTAATTGAATTTATTTAATAAGTAAATACTTATTATAAGAATTCTTATAAAGTGGCCAAATATTTGATTCTATAAATAGAAAATATATATATATATATATATATATATTTTAGAATTAAATGAGAAAAATATTTTGGAAATATATAGAATTAAATGAGAAAATTATTTTGGAAAAATATAATCTTTATTGAGAAATCTATTCTCATTCCCCTTAAACCTTTTTACGCAGTTTCTGAGCAAATTATGTGTTCTTGATAATTAAAATATCTTAATATATTATTTTTGGCTACGAGGCAGTTCCTAATTTGAACTCCGAAAATGAAAATGCTTCAATCTGAAGAAAAAAATTAATATAAATATTTGTAAAATACCATGGATCTAACATTTCATACAAAAGAGTTGCAGATATAAAATAATTATGGGCAGGAGATTACAAGCAATAACAATATAGTCGTAACAAAAATTAGTTTTGGCGGACCAAAACAACACCCTAGAGGAGAACATGCACCCCCATCGTAGACGTTCGTTCATTGCCCGCAGCATCCCGATTTTTGAGCATTTGCCGCATCCCCTCCAGACTGGTCTGGCTGGTTGATCTTAATCGTCTGCGGCTGCAACGATGAACGACAAGATGATCAAAATGCGAAAATGTATGATTTGCATAATCAATAGTTAGTACTTTGAGCAAAAGAAACCGTACCTCAGCCTTCGAGTCAGAATCGGCAAGTCTTTGCTTAATATCTCGTGCTATCGAAAAGAAAACCTCCTCGACGTTTAAGTTTGTTTTTGCACTCTGCAAAATAGTGACTCTTGAGCATACAGGAGAGATATAACTAAACACCGGAAAAGTAACTACGGCATCTGCGGTAAAATTACATACGGTCTCAAAGAACTTGATGCTGTATTCATCAGCAAGAGCTTGGCCCTTTGAGGTAGGGACGGCCTGAAAAATAACTTAAGGGTCAACTTGACAAGAAAAGAATCAAGGCCAATATGGCAAACAGAAGGTAACCAGAAAAGGGAAGAGAAATAAGAAACAAACCCTTTTGCTTTCATCCATGTCAGCCTTATTACCCACCAGAATCTTGTTGACATTATCCGAAGCATGTTGTTCAATATTACGAATCCAATTTCTAATGTCTATGCCAAAAGGGATATTAGTTCAGTTGATAAGACAATTATAGTGGAGAATGAATAAATTTTCAGATCACTAGATAGGGGGTATTTTTCAATTTTCAATACGCAGGGAACTGAAAAGTTCCGATGAAAAAGCAAATTTTGATGAAAGCATTAAACATTTCTAAAGATTCAAAGATGGACAAGATGGCAAAAAGTGTATGGATTTCAAAATTTAAATGATAAGAAGTTCAGTACTTACTATTGAAAGATGACTCATCAGTCACATCATACACGAGTAAAATACCCATGGCTCCACGATAGTAGGCTGCACAAAATGAAGATGTTACATAATTCATCTGCACATCATACAAGACTCTGGAAGAAAATAAAATCTGGATGTATTAGAGAGATCAGACATCTGGAGTTACTAAAATATGGTGAACACTACACATGCCCCATAATGGTAAAACAGGATAAGTAACTTGGAAGAAAGGAGCAAGCAATCATGTTTTTTGGAGTGTGAAAGAAAAGACTATGCATACTTATAATTCAGTTTTTCACCACCAGTAGAGCTGATACTAATAGCAAACAACTTTAATCTAACATTGAGTAACAAGAATCCAGAAAATATGAAAGGCTACGCATCTACAATTTCAATCCTAACCACCTGTTCTTTGTAGTTTTATTCCCAAGTCATGTAATACGGTAAAGAGTATAATAATGGTGGATTGGAAAATGTGAAACCATGAAAACATAAAAAATCCTGACTTCCTAACAGACCAAAAACACCAGAAATGTTATTGAATTTGATAATAATAGAGTGAAAACAAATGATAACTCGTATCAAAGAACGACAAACTCACAACAAACAAGCTTAAGTGAGAACAATGCCGAAGATATGCTATCAAATTATTTATCAATCATGTACGTTATAATTCTGATTAGACATGTATTTTCTAGTCGACACCTCCGAAGCCCACAAACTAACCAGTTGTAATTGTTCGAAACCGCTCTTGCCCAGCGGTATCCCATATTTGCAATTTGATTCTTTTTCCATCAAGCTCTATAGTCCTTATCTTAAAGTCAATTCTGCCAAAGTAAATGCAGCCTTTAAACTGCATGTCCCTTATAGAAATAAAAGAATAATATGAAGATCACTGTAAGGCAATAAGAAAAGAAACTACCCAATTGTCGTGATAAAACTTGTAGTAAATGAGCCATCCGAAAAACGCAAAAGGAGGCAACTCTTACCCACACCTGCCAACCGGTCAATAGTACAAGTAAACAGAGATATTGAGAACTCAAATTCAGAAAGGGCAGAATATCAAGAAAAACTCCTTTCATAATCACTACAGTATCACCTATTAATCCCTAGTTACAGACAATTATAACTATTTATAGCAGTTGATCACAGGAATTGAAAAACGGTTTCCTGAAAAGGAACAAGCTACGGCTCACAACATTCAGCATCAGGAACACTAATCGAGACAGAATATTTCCAAGATGATAAGCTATATTAAGATGAAATACATTTTCAAATACAAGCTAAAATACAAGACCAAGATATCATTAGCATATATTCACCATGTAAGGAACTAGAACATACTCTCTCTTTTTTCCTTGAATCAACGACGCTTAACGAAAAAAGAAATGGTATTAAGATCGTTTATAGACCTAAATCAAGCTTAATCTATGACAATGATCTTGAACTTCACATCACAATCTCACATCTGAATTTTTCTTATTTAACAAATAAATATTGTTAAATAACCAAAACATTTGTCGAGAAAAATGTAGATTTAATGAGTAAATCCAATTTCAAATCAAATAAAAACGTGAAATTATAGAGAGAAAACCAAAAGGAAATGAAAATTTACCGCTGTCGCCGATTAAAAGAAGCTTTATGAGGTAGTCATAATCGGCCCGAGCTCTTGCAGGTGGAGCAGCCATGGAAATAGAAGAAATTTATCGAAAACAAACCCTACAATAAAAAAATCGACGTTAAAATCAATTCAAAAAAAGTAAAAGTAATATTCGATAAATTGAACGGAAAGCAGTACCGGATCTGGTACGTCAGCACCGGTCGGCCGTTGAAGAAAATTTCCTTTTGCTTTTCTTTTAAGAGAAAGAGAAGGCGGAAAAAAAAGAAAGTTGGAAAGAGTATAATCAAGAAATAAGTTTTGGAATCGGCTCCCGACCGTTGGATTATTATTCAGTAGTGACATCTGTGTATATCTAACGGAGGAAATTTAGTTTTTAATTCGTCAACGGACAGAAAATAGGTGATTTAAGAAAACGACTCGGTTCTTTTAAAGCTGTTAGTTAAAGGGCACTGATCAGTCGGAGATAGATGCGCTGCGATTTTTATGTCTAACACCGAGGATGCAGCGAATCAAAATAATTTACTTTGATATTTATTTAATTTTGGAGATACTTTTTTAAAACCACCGTTATCTCATCAACTCGGAGGTGACAAGGATTATTTTATACATATTTCTACAATATAAATGTTAATTTAGGTGTTTTTATCGTTTTCTGAAATTAAGATATAAATCTTATAAAATTTTATTTTATATTGTTTTTATATTTAAACACGTATATCTATTCAGGTTCTCAGTTTTAATCTTATTATCAATTGATTACAGTGTGTCTAGACTCTTCAGTTGAGTCTCTCGTC